GGGAAAAAATTTTAATTTTTTTAACTTTAAATTTTTTATAATTTTTTTTTTTAACTCAAATCAAAGGAAAAAAAAAAAAAAAAAAAAAAAAACGTAATTTAATTAAAACGTATCGTTTTAAATTGAATTTTATAACGAAAAAATTATTTACTTGACAGATTGCTCGATCGATTAATCTGAATTTGAACAACATAAAAAACATTGTTTTATCGCGATCCAATTTGATGATGTTCGTTTCTGCTGGAACGGGAACGGTTGCATCAGTGAAATTTCCTATTGAGGAACCTCCCGAAATTATTCTTCAAAAACTTCACAGTTCGGCTGTGACGCAGGTATCGCATGACTTTAACCAATTGAAATGTGGAAAAGAATAATTTTAATAATTTGTATTAAAATTTAATTTATAGATGGAATTAAGTCTTGAAGACACCACATTCATAAGTTGTTCTCAATATGGAGCTATTTGCATATGGGACGTGACCAATGCAGAAGATAAAACCATAGTACTCGACAAAAATTTTACGTATTTCAATGAAATTCTCATAAGTAAGACTGATTTAGAAGAGAAACTTAGTTCCATTCGAGATCTCACTCAAAGAACGTACGAATTGGAAATGGAGCATGCATATCAATTGCGTCATACGGAAACCGTTTACAACGAAAAGGTGAAAGACATCCAAGACACTTACACTCAAGCTATAGAAGAGCTCAAGGAATCTCTCGAAATACTCGAAACCAATCATACAACGGAATTGTATAACATCAGTTCGGATGTCAACATAATAAAAGAAAAACACGAAGCGGAAATGCTTGAATTGGAAGCAAAATATAATTCCGAATTAATACAAGAATACGACAAAGTATTGAAATTGGAGGAAACGAAAATAGTTTTGACCAAAGATTACGAAGATAAATTAAAAGTTTTAAAAGAAAGTAAAGAAACCATAATAAGCGATCTGAAAAGAGTCTACGAATCAAAATTGTATAACTTGAACAAAATGGTTGAAGAGGTAAACGGCGACGATGAATGATTGCAATTAAAAAAAAATTATATTTGAATAAAATATAATTAAAATATAGGAAAGAGATATTATTATTATTATTATTAAAACGAATTAAATTATTTGGAATTTTCATTTCTAGGCCCGTGATGATATAAATAAAGAACTAAAAGAACACGAAACAATTAGAGATCAAATAGAAGATGATAACGATCGCGAAATAGAAACGATTAAAGGGGAATACGAGAAAATGTTAAAAGGAGCCAGAGAATCAAACATCAGACTGAAAGGAGAAACGGGGGTTTTAAAAAAAAAAATCATAAGTTCTCAAAAGGAAACGGAAATTATTCAAATGGAAATACTTTACGTGACCACCGATCAAAATAAATTGAAACAAAATATAATTGCGCTTGAGAAAGAAATATCGGAATTGAAAAAAGAAATTAACGAAAGAGATCTAAGGATACAAGATAAAGAAAAAAGAATATACGATTTAAAAAGAAAAGATCAAGAGTATGAAAGGTATAAATACGTTTTGAATTATAGGATAAAAGAGTTGAAGAATCAAATCGAACCAAGAGATAAAGAGATAAAAGAAAAAAAAGAGCAAATATCCGAGGTAAGAATTTGTAATTATAATACTCGAAGCGTAATATTAAACATGTTTACGTAAATTTACCTTTTTTTTTATTATTTATTATTATTAATGATCATTTATAGATGGAGCTCGAACTCGACGAACTTCAAAAAGTGAATCTTAAACTGGATGATGATTTGACCGGTTTAAGGGATAAACTAAATAGCATTTACAAACTCCTTCATGTTTATAAAAGTAAATATAATAATTCGTTAATGGTTATAAAACGGCTGAAAACGGATATTTACGAAATTTCCGCATGCGTTCAAGACTACAAAGATTTGAAAGACGGAACAAAAGTAAGTACGATATTAACTATCTTTCAAGTACAACAACATTTCATCCATTGATAAGTTAACAAAATTACTATCGTTAGGTAATTTAACCTTTTTACAATAACGATATCAAGGCGGGAAGGTTTTTAAACACTCTAAGTATGCTTTAAAGACAGGTAATACCTTTATTTATTAAATAGTAATTAAACATCATTATGCATAAGTTCGTCGTGTAATTAATTACTCGCATCTTTTTTTTTTCTTATAAAATTCAAATATTTGTTTTTTAATATGGCGTAGTCGTTTGTGAACGTTCAAGTATGCCGGATTATTCACTTTGTTTAAATCATACATTAATTCAATACGTCATTTTTACTAGTAATGCAATCATCTTCCTTATTTCGTCCCACAGCTCACGCCATCATTGACTCATCCTCAATATTATCTAAATCGTGTTTCTTTATTATTTAATAAAGACAAGTTTAATGTCCTTGTTGTTGTTTGCCACCTTTTATTATTATTTATAAGTTTTCATCCGATTTCGAGGATGTATAATATCGGTTCATAGGTTCATTTGGTCTTTATAAACTAAACTAAATTTTTGTTAAAACAAATAGCACCACTTTAATTATTTTTTTTGTATGTCTTTCTGAGTCCGTGCTATTCGATGAGAACGAGTTTAAGTTTCGGTGACAATAAAATATGTGAAGTAACCAGGATCAAGAGTTGTGAAAATCACATTGTCGTTTTGCTATCTTATAAATTTATTTTGGTTTACTATATATATATATATATATATATTGATTGCAAAAAAAAAAAAAATTATAATATTTGCGATTTTACAAAATAAGTTCTCCATATCATTCGTAAATTTTAAGCCTATGAATTGCTTATGTAAAATTTTAACTTTTTAATTTTTTATACATAAAACAAAAAAAATTTTAATACTGTAATAAAGTAGAAACAGTTTTTATATGTTGTCCCTATGTAAGTGAAAAAAAAAAAAAAAAATGTTATTCAGTTACTTTTAAATTTTAATAGGGGCGAACGGTAAAAAAAAGAAAAAAAAATTTTAAATATTATTAAAAAAACGGATGACCTTTTTCCGATACCACCATGCTTTTTTTTGTTAAGTTTTTCTTAGTTTTTTTTTTGTTGATATAATATATCATATCTGTTTATCCTCTTCAATGAGTCTTGTTTTTTTTTACTAATCGCGTGCGTACATGAGTGATGCATAAAAGAATCACAAAAGGTTTTATAGTAAACTACTTACTTTCTATTAACAATCATCTCTTTATCTCTTCTTTCGCATAATTTATTTTATTTTATTTTTCTGCTTTACTTTTTAAATTTTAATTCTTTAAATCTAAGAATGTAATTTATTTCTCGAGCATTTTAATATCGTTTGAATTTAGGATCGTTATGCGAGTACATAAACTATTACCTAAACGATTACTTTCATAAGAAACGAATGAGTAAAACGTTAGTTTGAAAATGGGCAAAGCCTTTTAAAATATTCAAACGTTAAAAATCAAGGAAAAAAAAAAAAATTTTATATATTACTGTATATGCGTTTAATATTGTCAAATAAAAAATTAATTATTTTTCATGAAAATAATCATTGGTCGTAATGTGTTTAAAATTATTTTTAATATAATAACTGTGTTCATTTTCTTATGATAATATTAATTAACTAGTTGTTATTATTTATGTTGTTTTGTTTTAAGAAACTTTATTTCAAATATATAACAGAAAAAGATTTTAAAAAAGCTCGTTTGGGTGATCAAGAGTGCATTTTTGAACTACAACGGCAAAAAAATTACCTGCAAGATATTGTGACGTCTCTAGAAAAAGAGCTCAAAGTTAGCAAATATGTGAACTACGGAGAAGGAATGAATTACATGGAAGTATGTATTAATATTACTATAAATTATTCGAGTTTTTTTTTTTTTTTTAAATTGTCTTTTGATATTTTTTTTTAAGATGAATTGGAGTTTAATGGATGAGATTTATAAAATTAGGAAAAAATTGAAATTCGTTCAAACTAGAGTTCAAGACATGGAAACACTAATATTTGTAAAACTCAATAAAACTTATTCTCCGAGACAAGTGCAAAAAATAATAAAATCGGCATTAGAACCTCCAGAAGACGTTCAAGAAAAATGTCACATTAACATGGAAAATGCATTGAAAAAAGCAATTCTAGTCAAAGAAGAAGTGGATTTGTTGACAAAGAAAGTTAAAAACATTCAGAAAGCGATTTTTTCAGAGGCTGCGCCTTTGAAAAAAAGAAAAATGAGATTCGAAATTTAGTTTTTCTTTTTTTTTTTTTTTTTTTTTTTTTTTGTAATTAAATTATTATTACTATTATTTTTAATTCCATTATTTACACATAACAATACTATGTTAAAATAAAGTGCGAAAAATAAAAAAATTTTTAAATGTCAATAAACAAAAATATAGATATAATTATTTCTTTGCTTGTGGTTTTATTTTATTTAGAACTAAACTTTTTTTTGTTTTATAAAATTCGCATTAGTTCGCGTTAGGTCAAGTCAAAAGCTCATTAAACGTTAAATACGGATTAAACAAAAAAAAAAAAAAAATTTAGGTGTACATACGATTTCCCGTGAGTTTCGGACGTCTGTATGCGACGGATAGGGCGGGGCTAAAAATGAAGTATTAAAGGACGGACGGAATACCCGGATAGCTGAGAAATAAAGAATGCGATCCTCAATATTCAACAATTTGCGAGCCGGATAAGGTAGGTTTTTTTTTTTTTTTTTACAGTTTATTATTCTTATTTAATAATATTTTCATCTGGCGTATTCCTTATTTAATTCATCTTATTCATTTATCCTAATAATTAAATTATTTCTCCTATATTTTGACATTCAAATTATTTTTTTTGTATTTAATATTTTTTACTTTAATAATTTTATATTATATATTTTTTTTATTTTTTTTTGAATTTCATTAATCTGACTTGTTTCCCATTTACTCTTATCCCGACACCCACCTCACTTCAATTCATTCATTGTACTCATGCAATTATTTTCTTTTGTTTTATATTCGAATTATTTTGTTATATCTTCATATTTTAATTTATAATTTAGTCATTTTTTTTTTTAAAAGATTTTTAATCCGATTTTATTAACCTATGTTTAGCTTAGTCAATAAATCAAGAAGAAAACGTGGTGGTGTCGTGCATCGACTGATGATCGAATCGGAGATGAAGATTTATATATTTGCAGTTCGACGACGAAAACAAAGAAAATCAAGCAGAGAGTAGTACATCGAAGAACACAGCATCGCAGTCGTACATAAAAGAGTCTTCAAAAAAGAAATTAAAAGGACCGACGTAAAACGAAACCCAACACTTGCGTTTTGTAATCTTAGAAATGAGGTAATCCGATATCAATTTTTTTTTATCTTTATTTTTAGTTTTGTTTTTATTTTATTTTGTTTCTTTTGTCCTTCTTATCTAACTTTTTTTTTTTTTGTTTTTTGATGACCTAGTAGAAATGTATTTAGCCGAGCGTGGTACTCCAACTACTTGGAAGCTACGTATAGAAGATGCTTTAAGAGCGGGAATTCTAGGATTGGATTTTTTCACGTTGACTAAACGTCTGCTAGGGGTACATCTTCAACTTGGATGCCTTGAGGGAGCCCGAGGTAACCAGATCGAGTCTGAAAAAAGGAATAATCGTAACCAAATTTCACCGAGTGGAGAGTCATGGGTTCAAATCTTGGGAATAAGAGTTCCATTTCAGCTCATCGAAACAAGAAGATAAGTGATTCAGAGCTCTTCGAAGGTATTGGGAATGCGCCGACCATAAGTACGAGAAGGTGAAACGTGATCCAAATAAGAAAAATGAGGAGCTACGATGTGAAATGAAAGTAGATGATTCCTATATGAAATTGGTATTCAACAATTTTTTTTTTTATTTTTATTTTTATCATTTATTTATTAATTTCCTTCTTTGCTTATTGTATTTTTTTTTTTATTATAATAGGCAGACAAGAGACTGAATGCAGTATCCATGGAAAGTTTTCCCAACCGGCGAACGAAAAAATTACCCGGATTTGCCAGGCCCCGAATTGAAAAAACTATCCGAATTGAACGGGCCCCAGATTGGAAAAATACCCGAAATAAAACGACGCGAGTGAAAATAAGAACCGTAAGTAGGTTTTTTTTAATATTAGTATTATTATTATTATTATTATTTTTTTTTTTTTACTCGAACTTGCACGTACCCCAAAGTAAAAAAATACACGGAGTTGCACGGCCACCGAATGAAAAAAACACCCGAAATAAATCGACGAGAGGCAAAAATGTGGTCCCTTTATCCTTTTTTTTTTTTTTTTTTTTTT